TTAAACATAAATACTGCTCTCTGCATCATCATCTGCCATGGTTGTTGTTTTTCTTGCCGCTTCTGCGTAGCAAGATGCAGAATAGTGGCCTTTGTCAGGTATTAATGGCGTTAAGGTCGGATGAATCATTTGAAAAGATCCGATTCGTATCGGATTCAGGACCACATAGCCAAGTGGCCTGGGTCGGATTGGAAAAAAATCGGATCTGAGTTGTTCAGACTGCCATGAAAAGATCAGATCCAGGTCGCATATGGGCAAAAAAAAAAAATCGCATTTGGGTCACTTCAGGCTGCAGTGTGAACGTAGCCTAAAAGATCTGCCTCTCATTCTACTTTCACATCCATCACATTCTGTGGACTTTCTGAAAAGATACCAATCCCACCCTGAAGGCCACAGCCTGATTCTCAGTCAGGGTTTTTGCAGATATCCTTCCATCAGTCATCCAGGTCCTCCAGCAGCAGGACACACATGACTGATTCTAAATCAGGCGTCTCAAACCGGTTCCAGAAAGGGCCGTGTGGCTGCAGGTTTTCTCTCCAACCAAGCAATAGCACACCAGACTCCAGTCATCTCATCAAGTCATCATGTTAAGACTGGACTGACTTGATGAGATGACTGGAGTCAGGTTCTAACTTCATCCAGACTCCTCACCTTGATCCTCCACCAGATATCTGAGTTGGGAAGATTTTCTAAACTTTTATTTGGAAAATCTTCATACTGTAGATCTGAGGCAGAACATCTTGTTTTCTTGGTTCTCAAAGACAATCAGACTGTTTGTGATTCTCTGCAAACTGAATAAAACTGGAACACATATTCAGTCAGTCCAACAGTTTGATGGGTTACCTGAGTTGTTTGTCTTCAGGTCTTCCAGCCGTCTCTCACTGACTGTCAGTCTGACCTCCAGGACTAAGCAGGAAATCATCGTTTCATTTAGTGATTTTATCCAGGATGAAAAGAACAAAACACACTGATGATGGTACCTTCAGAGAGATTCTTCAGCTGCTCCAGCTTTCCCTCAGTGTATCCAAACCTGACCAGCATATCTACAGAACACATCAGCTTTTACAGATGTGTTTCATATGTTAGCTAATGTTTATTGTGGCCAGAGTGAGAAGGCTTCCTGTGGTACCTGTGTTTGTTGTCTTCAGGTCTTCCAGCTGTTTTTCACTGGATCTCAGTCTGCTCTCCACCTCTAAACAGAAAAGCAACTTTTAGGAAGGAGTTCATTAAGGAACGGATGTTCAATCATTCAGTTTTAATCTTGAGTTGATAAATTGGTCGTTTTTGTCATCAAAATGTGATTTGAAAGATCTGGCAGAGATCCAACAATGGTTCCTTGAGGAGTTCTGGGAACCATTGCTGGATCATCCTGCTCTGATCAAACTGGTTGGATTCGGGGTGTTAGGACAGAGTTAAGAATCAATGAGTTCAGGATGATTCCAGGGTCTGGTTCTTGTCTTTCTCCTTTAGTGAGGTGCTCGGGTTTGTAGGCATAGACATTAATACCTGACCGCCATTGAAAGCTGCTTGGCGTAACCATGTCCCCGCCATATTTTAGGAGTCAGAAATCAGAGAGTGTAAAATGACTAAATCTCTGCTGCCCGGAGTCGTTCAAGTCCGACTAAATTGATGGGAATAACCTTCAACAAGGAAGAATTAAAATCCTCTTGATAGTGTTTGAGCCCAAGTTTGTTCGATTTTCACCAGTAGAATTTTTTTTAGTGCAGAGTACAAGATCCTCATCAAACGGACATGAAATGTCTGTTTATAAAAGCTAATATGTCTGATGGACCCAGTGAATTATATTTTATTTTATGCACAAAACTAGGACAAAAATCAGACTAAATCAGGAAATAGAGCAGCGTGA